TGGAACTGATGGCCGTGTTTCAGCGGATTTCAGTGCGTACTTAAAACCTACACATAGCTTATCCAACACACGGCAGCATTTTTATCAGATTTTTCGTACGTCAGAAGGACGCTGGTCTAAATCGTCATGGGGTGACAGGAGCTTAAGTGTACTTGTCACCTCTGCGCATACTCAATGAAATGAAGACAATTAAATTCATCTTTGCAGTTAAATGAAGTCACACACCTGTCACTGGTTCCCATGCATATGAAGAATAACTATAAACTTTATATATGAAACAAAAAATTACTCAAATATAGGTGCTTGAGATTACTTTATCATTTTATAACAATAAATAAAGATATCATTTAATCGTGCTAAACTGATGAGGACATTTTTATTTTGCAGGCTCTCAGCAGCCAATCAGCATTCTGCCTCAAGGTCCACGAGGGATTGCTGGACCAGCTGGACTTTGTCCTCCAGCAGTGGAAGAAAACCATTGGCCCTCGCACTCATATTGTTCTCGGTAAATTTATCATGAGATTTGTTGCTGTTGTCGTGGGTGATTGTAGAAAACGTAGGAAAATGAAAAAAATGTTTTGTTCTTTCTTTAGTGAGCACCAGTGAGTGTTTGAAGGGTCTTGGCATCAGAGATGCATCTTGTGTCGTCCATTTTGGATTTCCATCCTCGCCCAGACTGTTTGGCAGCAGACTTTTCTGTATGGTAGAAAATTTCCAAAATCTATCTGTACAAGTAAGCTGTGCCTTCATTCCCTTCATTTAGCCAGTTTTTGTTTTGTAAAAGTTTGGGAAGATCTTGATAATAAACGCATGTATCAGCTAATTTATTTCCTCACTTAAGGAGAAGCAAAATGATGCTGTGCTCCTTTTCAAACGAGATCTGTCCTGGTTATTGCTGAAACAATTGATTATTGAAATAAGCATCAACTAATTCAGTAACAGAGTAGTATAGAGACTGTAAATCGTGGCTTTAGCTGACAGAGCAACCCACTTAAAGCAGGAATTATACCAAAATGATAAAAAATGTATAAAAATTTTGCATTTAAGATAAAAAAAATATTTTTTTTTTCTTCCATCAACATGCTTTGTTATCTGGAAAAATTTTAGCTTAAGCTGGTTTAATTTAGTAAAAATGTTATTTAAGGAGCCTTTGGCTATCTGATTATTAATCGATTCTTAAAAAAAATAATTGACAGATTAATTGATTTGCAAAATAATTGTAGTTACAGCCCAGTTTGGGGAGCAGCGGCCTACCTGTCAGGGCAAAGAGCTTGGAATCCTGAGGTTCTGAGTTTGAGCCCCACTCCCACAGACTGCCACTCTGGGTCCCTGAGCAAGACCCCTAACCCCACACTGCTCCCCAGGTGCCACACAGTGGCAGCCCACTGCTCGCCAAGGGGATGGGTTAAAATGCAGAGAAGGAATTTCATTGCTCTGTAGTTGTGACAGTGGAATGACAACAAAACAGTGGGATTTATTATGGTGGGAGTAGGAAAGCATTTTATTTATTTTTTTGAGCTTGCTTTCTGCTGTGGGGTCTGAAGCGTGTTCACCTGCCGTTTGGAGCGTATCACTGCTGCTGCAGCGTTCCAGTCCTCATAGCGCTTCCCTCATGACTGCACATTCAAAATGACATTATTGATCCCAAAAGGAAATTGAACGTTGCAGCCTGGTATCAGCTGTTTTCCACACTGAGATATTAAAGCTTTGACGAGTTTTATAAATACAGGTTTATAACATGATTTTATTTTGCTTTAATTTCCATTCCTTACTAAC